CCTTTGGGATACCGAAGCGACATACAATGTTTGTCCATATAAAGGTTGTAACTTTTGCCTTGGTTATGGTTGCCAGTGGCTCGGCCTCTACCCATTTGGTGAAATAATCTACCGCCACTACAGTAAATTTGGTGTGATTTCCTCAAGGGGATGAGTGTGATAAGATCAACCTCCCATTGGGCAAACGACTAAGGGCAGTGATGGGAGTTAGCAGCTCGGCCGGCTGATGGATGATATTGGCGAAATACTGGTAGTTTTGGCATATTTTTACAAATTGCGTCGAGAACCCACGTTTGTACAAGGTCCCATCTTGGAGGATAAACCTTGCTACTTTATGGCCGAGCTTCTTTGCTTCTTTCGAATCTGCACGAATGCTGCCTGAGAGGTATACTTTAATCGGATCCATTCAGGATGGCAACTAGGAACCAATCTCCATCACGCTTGGTTCCAAAATCGCGACTATGAATCATAAGGGCTCGAACTTGGATCATAATTGTCAACACCCAAACCTCTTACTACTGTACCAACACTCAAGGTTGCAAACTTTAAAGACTTATTTTTTTAAATAAAATCTTTTATTTAAAAAAATAAGTCTTTAAAATAATGTTTGGAAGTAAAACATTTTTTTCAAAAATCAAACTTTATTTACAATTTGAAATTCGTTTATTTTAAAAACAAATTTAATTTTAAAAAAATCTTTTACTCTTGTTTTTCTTTCTAAACTTAATTTAACCAAACTTTACTTTAAAACAAAATCTTTTATTATTATTTTTTTAAAATACCAACTTCTTATTTATTTTGAATTAAAAAAATATTGTTTAAAACTGAGAACAAAACCTTTCTTATAAAACTCATACTGATTTACCAAAAAAACTCTTTTTATTAAAAAAATTTATTTATCAAATTCTTTTATTTTCCTTTCAAAAACTTATTATTAAAACAATTTGATCCTTTTAAAATCTTTATTTTTATTTACTTTCACCCTTTAAAACATAAATCTTTTATTTTTTTTAAACCTTATTAAAAGGTTTCCTCCTTTATAAGTAAAAAAAAAAAAACTTGGTTTCGTTTAAAAGAAACTTTCTTTTCTTTGCTTTAAAAAAGTTAAAAATTCACATTTACTCACCAAGTGACGGAATGATGGAGGTCGCCAGAGTTTGTGTAGGACCACTCAGAAAATGCACCGTCGAGTCTTGCCTCCGCTAGAGGATGCCGTCATGTCCTACAGTCGCCGGAGCTCAATAGAAGGTAAGAGAGAGGGGAAGACTTTCCCTTATAGGTAAAAGAAAAGGTATCTTTAGGAGGTACAAAACTAACTTTAGAGATAAAGCGGAGGAGAATTAAACCACCAATGTAACAGTTGACTAAGAAGCTTTCAAAATTGCAAACTTTTTATTAATTAGCTTTGATCCACTTAAAAAATAAATAAAACTCAATTTAAAATAAAAGAACCTCCCAAAATGCTTAATTTTCTCTAAAAAACCAAAATAACTTTATTTTTATTTAATGCTTTTAGTTATTTCTTTATTTTCTTTAAAAACACTAATTAAAAAAAATAAAAACTAAAATTACTTTCTTTTACTAAATAAAAAAATGAAAATAAAATAAAATTTGAGTCCAACAAAATATGGTGTCTACAAATCAATTTCAGTTTTGTCACCAAGAACCGCAATGAATTATTAAATTTATTTTATTTAAATCTAATTAGTGTACCTAATGTCAAAAGTTTAGGGCATACATCTCAACAATTATACGCTTATATATGACTTATTCACGAGTTGTTTGGTGGTGCAATAGTCTGTTGGATAGTTGTTGCGATGGATGGAAGGACTATTTCAACAGTTAGAATGGTTGCTTCCTAAGATTCAATGATCGTTACCTCAATTGCATTCATATTTTCGTCAACAACTTTTTCTATCCATTTCTTATATTTCTTAAGTACTGAAAAAAGGGTAGCATTATCCCTCATTTTCTTCTTCAACTACTGGTTTTTGTTGGGGGAAGGGGGAGGAGCGAATGAGTTATGGTTAGAGGTGCAATGTCATTCAAACTTAGAGCTAGATCATTCTCCCTAACATGCGTTGAGGCGCAACTATTAACTAGGCATCTCTGGGCAAAACACGGTTTAGGTTCGAGTCACAAGATCACTACTAAACTGAGATAAACTCTAAATACTATATATGACCTCAAAATAACAATGGGTCAAGGTCTACTGCGGAATACTTCTAGTCCTTACGAATTGGTCTCTCTTTTCTTCCCTATGGTCGAACTCCTCTAGAATATGCTTTATGGTGTGAAACTGTCTCGAGGTAATGAGATTGCAGCCCTCTCCCTTTTGTTTCTTTGTTGTTTTTTAGTTCATCTCAAAGAAGGTCCTATGGGTATTCTGGAAAAACCTTTGAAAGAGAAGATGATACCTACATTTGTTGTTGATATAGGTCAAGAGGTACTAGTCATCTAAATTATCTAGTGTGAATAAGGTCAGGTTTCATCATATTGAAAAGTGGTAGACTTTGGTTTTGATGAAAGTGGAAAAAAAAATCAAATGTACTAGTTTACTGATACCCTCTTCCTTTTCCTTAATAACTAACACTCTTCTCTTTGCACCTACTTCTTTTGTCTTCTTCCTTAACTCACTCCTAGTAATTAGGTTGTTCTTCCAAGTAGTTAAATACTAGATATATGTATATATTGAAGTAAAAAAATCAATGAAAGTTTATAAAGATTCATATCATTTATCAAAAAAAACATATTCATTTAATTGAAATACAATTTAAACATAGTCACTCGAGAGAATATAACATAAACAATTGTCTAGGTCAACTAAATGTTGAAATATTCATGAAATTTAAGTTGTGAAAACAACAATTTTTGACTTCTTCAAATAATTGATTTATCTGTTAGATTTCTAACAATAGCAATGACTCCACGATCATACATATCGAGTTATTAGAATCAATAACATAAATGAAGAACGATCAAACCTGAATCTTATCACGTTTTACATTGTACCTCAATATTGGATTAGATCTTCCTCAGCTAAACACGCTTCTCCTGTAATATGCGTAGTGTATTGGAGACCATAGCCCTTGTATTCTATTTATAGACTCTTCCCTGGACCCCCATTAAGTACAGTAAGAGTAAATCAGTATCCACATAAATGAAAGTCCATACTCAATGAAAGTCAATGCGTCCATTACTTACATATCACTTTAGTTAGCCCATCAAATAATCCAATAATGATTGTATTGAAGGAAATCTCGAGTAATGGCTACGTAGAGGACACCGTATTGAAAAATGGTCAAAGGTTTTGTAAATTGTACATGATGACCAGATTTGTATTTTCGAAAATTATGGGAGGGTGGAATTGTTGGGTTTTATGTCCTAAAACTCATAGTTTGAAAATGACAGATATACTTTTATCATTCAATAAAGTTGTTATTGAAGGCTTTAATCAATAAATAGTTATTGATCCAATAAAATGTTCTTACTATATCTAAATCCAATAAAATAAAGGATCCTAGACTGTTACCTGAGACTCAAACTCTATGTAAGAGACATAAATATGGATCAAGTTTGAGTTAACAGTCTAAATGGTCTATAGTATAGGAATAAGGTTGGGCGCCTTATTCTGGGGACACTATGCATGCGGCCCACTTTGTAGCTAGTACAAACGATGTGATCCTAATTCATTCATGTGAAGACATGCGAGTGGGGGTGTCCCGTGCAAAGAGTTTGCATAAGACCGGACCATGAGATAGTCACTTTTACTTTATAACACCGTTTACTGTTTGAAACTGACTATCTTAACTTTGATGGCCTAGGTAACTCGATCTTAATCCTGAGCTAACTA